ATCACAGAACTTCGGGCAGAAATTCTTCATGAATTCTATAGAACTACTGATGCTATGTCTTCAAGCCCAATCCAACACTCCTTTCACGCAGAAAGCCACGTCTTTAGAACTTCATTGTACACTGAGGTCTGGTCAATAATAGGTAAGAAAGAGAAGCACCCTTCGACCCAAGCAGCCCAAACCCACAAGCACCCCCTGCTGTTACTGTATTTTTGGCGTATAATCCACAAAACCTCTTCATTTCCCCACACTGGAGACTGGAATGGCTCATCCTCCATGCAGGTAAGCCAAGGAGCTGTGCTCCTCCTGCTATCCCTCCCTCTTCTGACACCACCGCCTGCCTCTGTCCCAGCACCCCCCATCTGTCACCCACCTCTGTGCAGATTACTTGAGGATTTATTTTCAAGCAGGATATAGGGATGAAAATAGGCATTACTTTGTCCTCCCACTCCTGAGCTTCTACCTATTTGTTTCATTAACTTCTTTTACACTGTGATGGTATCACACTGTAAGCTCTTTAGGGCAGAGATGGCCTTTGTAAGAGATACATGCACAGTGTCCATTCCAGCATCCCCAGCCTTGCTGACCAGGGTTTATGACCACTGCAAGAAAAGGAGTATTAAACACCAATACTGAAATCCTGTGAGTCAAGGTTTCCCATTCAGGCCCTAAAACTATGGAAAACTCCCCTTTATTGTAAAGCAGGGACAGCCAGCCTGCAGACCACACTTTCATCAACAGCTCTGTTCATTTCCAGATTTAGTTTTCATTAAAATGCAGCCCAGGATTAAAATAAGTCAGCTGGAGCTATACAGTGGGGTAATTTGCAATATTGCACCAGTGTACAGCCTTAATGATGCTACCCGGCCGTGCCCTCCTGTGTCATCCTTAGCTGTGGCGCCAAAATAATGAGTCTAATCTAGGAAAGGACAACAATTCTCTGCTTCATATAGCGGGAGGCAAGATATTTTTCCTGCAAGTTATTGAAAGTAGTTGGTTTAGGACTACTTTGGTAAATATGAACATCCCCACTGCATTTTGTGTGCAGAGACTACTTTTAGAGGTAACGCAGAGGTAACAAAACTGGTAGCAGAGCTGCTTTGACTGACAACCTTAACCTAAACAGTTTTTGCTTTGTGTTGTTTATGAAGGTTTTTTACTGCAGGAGGAGGGGGCAGTACCTAAAATCCTCACAAGACTACTTAACATTTCCCGGTGAAAATGTAGCATTTCAGTGAAATTCGATATTTTCTTTCATCAAAGGCAGGGAGCCTCAGCCCACATGTTAACAGTAATGTAACAAGCCTACTGTATGTGCTACAACCCAAGATCCTTTTCCAATTAGAATTCATTTAGGTTGGGGAGAGAGGAGGGGTCGGAGCGAAGAGGTGGCTCTGGAATTGATAAAACTGGAATTGAAGCCTTCTGGCTGGGAGCATTAACTGCTCAGCTGGGAATCCCAAACACTTGCTTGGACTCCGCAGCGAACCAGAAGCAAAAGAGCATCCTTAGGAAGGAGAACATTTTGTCCCCGGAAAGCTAAGGAGATGCAAACAAAAATGTTTCTTTTTCTACAGAGGACAGAGAAAAAAAATCTCTGTTGCACTAGGGAAAATTCTCCTTTAATTCTCCTGAAACTCCAGTCTGAGTTTGCTTTCCAGTTCCAGCTCCGACAGAATCTCCAGATCAAACTCATTAGTGGTGGTTAAATCCAGGTTTGCTGATAGAAACGTGTGGGACAGCAAACAAAATCGGTATCAGGCCTCGAGAGTGGATGTGCCTCTTTAATTGAAAAAGGCAGAGTAATCATTCATTTATTTAACCCAGAGATGATTATAATCTGAAAACCTTGAAATCCTCTTACACAACAACTGTTTTGGCAAGCCCCTCTGTGTTCCAACAAATATTAAACTGTGCTTGCCATTTGTCTAAGGAATCTTGTATTAATAAACATGAAGAAGAACACTTTTACCTCCCACACTCAATGACAGAAAAAAACAAAGACCAGCTGTATTCATCAATGGATCCTTGTTCTGCACATAAAGGCTAATTACATTTTACTTCAAGCCTACACATGGAAAACTTTGCTGCTGCCATCTTGTCAAATTCAGCTTCTGATATTCCAGCTGACAGACTGCACTGACTGCACATAATAAACTTCTTCTTGTCATTAACACCTTCAGCCCCTGCATGCGGGGTACCGGCGGGATGCTGGGGCCAGGGAAGGGCAGGGGCTGCACCTCTGCTCCTGCTGCGCACACGGTACCTGCTCGCTGGCAAAGGGAATGGACATTTTTATACACTGGGGTGACAGAAGCTGATTTGACTGAAGATTTTAACTTCAGCAGCTGCTCCCATCTGAAGGTCCTTGCTAGCATCAAGCTCGGATGGTCCCTCTGTACCTCACACTCTGCACGTACTTTGAGCAGGACGTTTGAAAAGATCAACAAACACGTTGACATAATGATTTCCAACCTTAAGATCACACCAACCAGTCGCCAGGACAAAATCCAGACCCCTTAACGCTGATACGAAGACTATTTACTGTGTATTTCTTTTGCTTCTGTTTTTTGTTGTTGTTTGAAAGATTTTCAAAGTTACCAACAGTTGAAAGACAGCGTTAGTCCAAAACTGAAAATCTTAAAGCACTGTTAGCTTTAAAAAATTGACTATTATCTTTTTTTTCTTTTCCTGAAGACACTCCAATTCATCTGCACCAAATAAGCGTCTGTGAACCCAACAATTCTGGCCTAAGATAAAAATCACATGTTTTTAAAACAGAAAATTAAAATTGGCAATACAAGTAGCTTTTCAGACTTAGATCAAAAGAGGATTTCTTTGTAGAAAAGAATCAAACTGTCTTTCACCATTTTTATTGGTGTTTTTTCAGCGTTTCTCCCAGCTTTTACAATTAAAATAGATGACTCAATTTCACTGTCTACATTCAGTTCCCTTTTCATGTTTTTCTAGATTTCCATATTGCAAAATCTAGGCTACAAACTCCACAGATGACTGTTGTTATGCAAGAACTATTCCTGCCATAAATATCCAAAACAATGATAAAATATTTCTTCTGTTATTAGGTCCTACAAGTTTGTTTTCACAGCACATTAGTCTGGGAGATAAAGTACATGCTTAATGTCTGCTTCAGGATTCAGCTCCACAATCACTGTATTCTAGACCCAGCCTTCATAATTGTTCTGCTACAGAACACAATAAACTTTTTGCTACTGCAGATGCTACCAATTTTATGTCATTCTTTATATATTAGGTAAGAATCATATTCAAGATCATATGAAACATTTCCGTGTGACTCTCCCTGACCCAACGAAACACCTTAGAAATGCAAACATTTTAGAGTCCATTTTTTTGCTCAGGATAAGATAAATCACACAATTTAGGGCCACGGTATTAAAAAATGCAGCACTCTGCAAATAAAAACATTAAAAAGGGTGAAGGGTTATTAGGTTCAGTGCCTACAGCCACTGAGCCCTGATCTCTGACTGTTCCCATAGAAGTGACTGCAAGACACAATAACAGCAACAGAGCTGCCAGCATCAGTTACGTGCAGGAAAAAAAATCCAGGCAATCTGCAGTAATTTAAGGCTCCATCAGAAACATCATTAGGATGTGTCTGTTAGAGAAGGAGGAAATCAATGAAGGAGCAAATATACTTCTGAGCCCTTTATACGGAACTCAAAGGAAACTGGACTTTCAGAGCAAACGCCAAATTTACCTAAAAGATTTTCCTGACTCACATAAAAGGTGTTTTGACTCCAAGTGCTGATTCTTAACTACTATGGACTGAATTTTGTAAGCTCCAAGTTCTCCATGTACTCAGTGTTGAATCGGATCCTCAATGCTCACAGAACCATATGGTAAGAAATTAAAACTTGTTGCCAATTTGAGCAGCTTTGAAAAACCTGTATTATCTAGACAGCCATGAGCCACAGCAGAAAGCACTGACCTACAGGCTATACCAAGATGTTGTCACTCCTTCCATCAAGCCGAGGCTATGGTCTCGCCTCAACACAGAGACAGCCAACAACCTTCTCTTAACCATATGCCCTGTACAAGAATGGGGGGTAAAGGCAGGAGCAAGGGTTTTCCTCTCTGTTCACTCCATCACGAGCCTACTTGGAAGTTGGGGTGAAGCTGGGGCTCTGCAGGATGGGGGTAGTGGGCATAGGGACATGACGCACATCTTCCAACCCTTGCCCTTAGAGCAAGCCGAGGGACACCCATCTGAAATGGCTGCTTCTTTCCCATCCCATTTCCAGACACAGAAATGACTCTTTGGGCTTAATACTGCTGATCATGAGAATTCCTTCTCATTACAAAGTTCCTTAAATATGAAGGGTTCAAAGAAAAACAGCAGAAGACTGTCTCTCTTTTGTTGTTCCCTGCACTGATTGTTAAAAAACCAGGGGATAATTGGAAACAGTAGGCATTAAGAAGACAGGGATATATACTTCTGAGGCTACCTTCATGTTCTGCTTGAAAACAAGAAAATTCCACCATAAACTGGTACTCTGTAATTTGGGGTGATTTTGAGACAGTGATGACTGCTACCCCAAAAGCAGAAAGAGGGAGGGTGCCTGACAGTGAAAAAGAAATCCTTTACTAAACCCAGTTTTCTTTTCACCAAGATTGGAAGATCACAGTAAATATCTTATTTCTGAAATTGCCCTATTTCTAAATAAAATATAAGAAATACGTAGTATCAGAGGTACACAGTATATATTATACATGAGAGACACAGCATCTGAGAGTGAAACCAGGAATGCGGGAGCATGTGTGCCAGGAAAAGTGTCTTGGTGGGTGGAAGAAAATATGAAAACTAATAATCTCTCTATAGGAGGCCAAATTATGACCATGTTTTCCAACAAATTTGGACTCCTGAACCTCTTCCATTTCATCTGTCTCCAGCAGACAGACGCAAAACAAAAAAGCAGCGATACCCTGAAGGAAGACATAGAAAGAAAACAGTGAATTCTTACTTTGCAGTAGTTTCTTCATCGTATTTTGTTTTCAGATCAAATAGTTCTGTTCTGGTTTTTTCCAAGGCTAAAAGGCATAAACATGAAGCATTACAGCACTGTGACAGCAGTGAAAAGCAAAAAGACTACTCTCATTTTCTTTTATTCAGCCACAAATAAAGCTGTATACACCTCCTGATGAAAAATTCTGTGCTTTATCTTTCTACGTAGCCAAACCATTATGACTTAGAAAAAACAGAGACTTGATTTTTCACAATTTCTTAAGGTATTCCTTTTACACTGCAAATTTTCCAATGTCTGCTTAACAAAGCTAGACATTATTAATTTCTATTAAGCTGGCTAAAGTGCTTATTCATGTGAAATATTTACTGCAGTAATTCAGGTAATACAATTTCTTGTGTTCTCATATGAAACACCACAAAATGTGTCCAGACCTGGAATCTCTAAGTATGCAGAGATGAATACTAATGGTAAGCAAGTCATAGCAATAGGCAAGACACACTGGTGGAAACTAGGTTTGTACCGAACTGAGATCACTACACGTACTTATCATAGTTCAGAAATGTGTGAAACCAGAGCAAAACACAACATGGACGAGAAGTTCTATAGTCTGATTTAATTGCAGTGATGCTCTAACACTTTACTTGCCTCATGCTTGGCCCTGTCCACTGTATTTACCAATAGACTGGCTGCAACGCAAGCACTGACTTAAGGTGTGAAGCCCCAAAGAAGGTCCAATGTACAAAGCACGTTTAAGCTGTGTTGGATCTTTGCACTTCCAAGAGCTGGTTCACACAGTCCTGATATATTTCATGACCTCTATCCTCCCACCTCCAGTCTAATCACTGCTAGAGGTCAGAAAAGCGATGCCAAACCTGTTTGCAAAGCTTGAACTTTGTGTTCAGCTTCTTCCAGCTTCGAGGCTGTCGACATCTGTGTCTCCTGTAATTTTCTATAAAGGGAAGAGAAGAGGTGAGAACAGAGCTCATAATCATGTTAAACAACTTATCTGTATTTTGCAAATTTGGAAGATAGAGTGATTAAATGTCTCAACTGTCATCAGACAACTGACAACACCACACAGACTACAAGGTGCTTCAACGGGACCCATAAATCATGTCACGCTGCGATACTGTTCATACTTTGCAGTCCCACTTATTAAAATTTTAACAGTGTAGCCACCTCATAACATAAGCTGTGAACATTATACAAGAGTTGACTGCTGTATAAATGACAACTTTAGTGGAAGGTTTTCTTGAGCATAATTTGTTTTGGAAATGTCACACACATTGAGAAAATTGTCACCAGGCACCCTCTGTTGTACAAAGTTAGTACAAGAAGAATGATACATTTCCATTTCACTGTCATAATGAAGAAATTTGTTGCCATAACTGATATAGCGAATAGATGCAGCAGCTGTTTCATCATAGCTCTAATGGATGCCAAATGCAGTAATATTATTAGCCACTCTTTAAGAGAACACACATATTTCAAAACAAATCTCACACTGCTATTTTCCATATAACATGAGCAAACCTCTAATATGCTCACATTTTTTATGTCCACAGGCAATATTTGCTCGTGTCAGTTATACACGTTCCAACATCATCTGGCCATACAGTCGCTACGCTCCTTGCTATAGGCTGACTGCAGGCGCTAGAAACTCATCTCTGAAAGGGAGCTGCTCCAGCATCTCCCAGGAGTTGCTGCTTTTTATGACATTGCTTTTAAGGTACTCTTCAGATCTGAGAATGCGGGAAGGGCTTATGAAACTACCAGCATCCTACCTGCACTCCACAGGGTGCATGGATTTATTCTCCAACGCTGCTGACCAGGTTAATAACTATTTATAGCCAGAAACATGCATCAGTTCCCTTCATACCAAATGATATAGTTTGAGAACTTCAAACCTCTCCTGTACACACTTTTATTTGCATTCAATGACCTGTCATTTTGTTTTATTTCTAAGCATACCTAAATTGCACTTGTTAAAGCCACTGCTTACACACTACTTACTGAAAAGTAACCACGGATATTGATGGATTAAATAAAGCTTTGCATTCACTGATAGATTCCTCCTACTCAGATCTGAACTGAAACAACCAACCCACCAACTAAAAAGGTCATGTAAAGTGAAAGGCTTCCACACTAAGTGTTATTGTTCCATAGGAGAAATGAATTCTCAAGGTAGGGAATGCAGCCTAAAAAATCCCTCTCAGGACCCTTGGTCTTGTCCTGCTGATTTGTTTGCTCGCCGACCTACAAGATTCAAACGTTTCCTGCTTGCTTGCAAAGGTCTAGAAATGCATCCAAGATGCTTGCAAAAATCAGTAATAAGTAATTAAAATACTTCTTAATTTTGACATGTAGGAATGTGCAATGCTTCTCGGGATAATTCAGGAGCACATCCCCTCTCTTAGATATTACCACAGGAGCAGGGGAGATGCATCTTTTACCCACGCTCTTGGGTACAGTGTTGCATCTTGCTCAGCCCAGGGTTGTACAGATTCTACAGCGGTACTGTGACACACAAAGCAGACACAGCAGACTGAATTACACTGTCGGCTAATGGAGAAAGATTAGTGTCACAAAGGACAATACAGCTAGTGAAGAAGAAAAGCAGGTTTGCACCCTTCTGAACATGACACCCCCCACGCAGCACTACCGCGAAGAAACAATCTGTCCTTGTTTTACTTCCACACTTTCACCATTGTTTTTCGGTGCAAAGTTGAGTATCAAATGATTCCGTGTCAAACACATAAATCGCCACAATCACTCAATATATGAGCTGTCTCAGTGCACTGAACAGCGAGTCCTGGCTGGGAAGATTAAATACAGAGAAATACATCTCTCCTCCTCTGCAGTGCTGACAGATCACACATGCACATAAACACTCACCTCTCCTTCTCTGCAAAATCATTTTGTAACTTTTGTTCTTTTTCAAGGGCTATATTCTCCGCTTGGTTCTTCAGGGTCTGTTCATACTCTCGGATTTTCTCTTTAAGTGCTTTTATTGTAACCTCTACAGAAAAACAATAGGGGAAGAATGAGTTTACACAGCTCCACGTGGTTCCACAACACAAGGCTTTCTTTACCCTGTAGGCTCAGCGTGTTTTAAACTTTAGCTCTTCAACTCTGACACAAAATCAATGGATATGAGTCCCTTTGGAGACCTTTTACTCCCTAAATGTTAAATTGAACTTTAAGTGTTTAGGCTGAGAAGGATCAATGGAGTTTGCTGGAAAGCAGAGTGAAGAAGGTGAAACATGACTTTAAAAAACATAAAGGAGGGGGGGAATCAACTGGAAAATATAATATCACCTTATTGACTAGTCTAAAATTAGCTCACTGCCAACTGGAGATTAATAAAGTCCCAGTGTGAGTTTAAGTATGCATTTATACACAGGACAGCTAATTCATATAACTGTGCCCATGTAAAAAGAGGCAGTTTTACTATGGTTCATGCACAGATGCAATCTAACACTAATTGAATACGTATCTGGGATACAGCTACGTTCTGCTTCACAACTGATGAAAAATAAGGCAGTTAAGATTTAACTGCTGCATTAACAGTAGATCAGATTCAACAGACACTCTGGAGCCCTTCATATTCTAGTTGCTCTAACTGCCTTGCCACTGACACCAGGTTTTATGCACAAGCATTAACTATTATAACTTTCTGAGTGCGCTTGTAGCCTTCTGGGGAATTTGCAGAAACCCTTCTCTCAGCTAAAGGAGCTATCTCACATTTACTGTGCTTGGTAATGGATGAGAGAAGATGCATAAACTTGCAGAGCTACAGCGCAGTCTCTGATGGACAGCATCTTATTACGTGCCCTCATCCACTCCTGCGTGAAAGCCCTTTGATCCCACCCACAGGAAAGGACTGGATCCTTATAGGGCTCAGCAGAGGAAAAGCAGGACATTCACCAGAGTATGCTTTGTAACAATAATGGAATTTGGAAAAAGCCTTAGACTGCCAGAGGACTCGCCGCTAGCAACACATTTGAGTGTACTTACACAGAGATGTGGGGGGTTAAAGACATCAGCTTACTAACAGATGCCATTAACAACGCTTTAGGAAAAAATACCTCTGCACATCCAAAGTTCCTCAGTACTATCACACAAAACCATACATAATCTTTGCAAAGTCTCGACTTCGAGAAGTGTAAAGCCAGAGAGTAACTACCTAGTGACAAGCTCTGCTGCCTGGGAAATACACCAGTGGCAGCTTGGGCCACAGTGAACATAAAGAGAAGGGGGAAGAGTGGTAAAAATGATTGCCAGCAAACCTGCTTCTTTTGGATGAGGGAGCGGGATTTTGCTAGCCCTGTAAAGACCAGATGAGGCTTGTTACTGAGTAATGGGCCCTGAAAAGGACGTGCCACTTCTGATGTTTCTTTTTCAAAGCAAAGGGAAATTCTCCTCTGAGATCCGGGAAGTAATACAAATTGTGATCTTTTCCTGAACAAGCAAAGGATGCTCCTCCACACAGACAAAAGGATGCTCATACACATGTGGAAAGGATGTACTCTTTGTACCAGAGACACCTTTGCTTCAGGTATTTTCAGACATAAATCTGCAAAAGTATTCGGGTATATGGAGAAGCAGAGAGCAGCTTAACAAAGTTTTAATGTTTCACTGTAAAAAGAAACGAAACTACAAAAATGAATGCAAGAAGTGCACAGATATGGGGGAAAAGTACTACTTTTATAACAAAATCTGGTTTTATCTTTAGAGACCTAACAATAGATGTGCTGGACAAGCATAGTTTAATCCACATACTGCTCGAAGAAGTAAGAGCTGTCTTTACTGTGCAGGTCAGCCAAAGCTTATTAGCCACTGCCATTTGCACCGGTTTTGGAAGGAGTTCTTACAGGCACTGTATAGCTCATACACAGCCCTCCAAACAAAGAGATTAACTGATCAAAGCACCCTTAGCTAACAACAGGCTTTTCCCTGGATATTTTATTAATCCCTGTTTGAAATGGAGTGTAAAACTACTGCACTGGAGTGAGAAACACTGCAAAGACTACAGTGGCAAACCAGAAAGGAAGTTAGTGCCCAACAGGGAAAATAAAAAGATGACAGTATATGAGTGGTTGCAGCAAAAATCCCTGGAAGATCTTTTCCACTTTCTGGGATGAATCCCTGTGTCATGCTTGGATGTACAGGATGCACAGCCTCAGGAAAATTCTGCAGGGGGAACTGCAATTACTGTGCATTTCCAGCATAAACACGGTGGGGTTTAGAGCATTTTGGCTCCCCCACAGGACCCCTCTTTCAGTCCAGGCTGAATCCCCTCGTGCCGGTGCCTGTCCTCTCCACATGTCACACCCTCTAAGTTCAAACAAAATATACAATATATGCTCTTTCTGCTGAAAATGAGATGTAACAGAACCAACTTAGTTGCTGTCATAGCTTTCAAGTGTTACCCACTTGGGTGCAACAGTTCTGCAACATTAAAAAAAACCCTCTCTCAATTCTCCCCAAAGCCTGGACAATTCCCTCTTCCACCACCCAGAATTGAGTATTCAACATGGAAATGAAAAGCCCCATGAAGGCAAGAAGGTGTATAACTGAGCAGATTTGGTTTCCTGGGGCAGGAAACTTTCTTCTCAATCACAGGAAAACTTGAACAGTCTTAAAGACTCCAGGCTTTAAATCGCATTGAGATTTTCATGTATTTTCATGTGCTCTGGTCTCATTAAAACTTAAATAATTAAAGAGTATTAGCTTGTATTTACATTGCTCTGTGGGTAGTCTCTAGAGTAAAAATACAGTATGTCTGTTGAATGTACTCCAGTAATACATTTCAGATTTAGATAAGGGAAAACAAGAGTATAGAGAACATTCAATTTTGGACAGATTGGTATGTGTATACAAAATACTGGACTTTTGTGTTTGCCAGTGTAAGATGTACATACTACAGGCACCTGCACCCAGCTTGATGTCAGGAGTAGCACTGCCTCTCATGAAGTATCTACATATAACTTCAGTCAGGGATGGAATTTTTAGGTAGCGCTGAAGGCTACAACCAAACATGCAGAATAAGAGCCCCATTCTCTGGCTTGGTGCCACAGTAGACAAAATGGTTAAAGAAAGCCAAGTAGTCTCCCCAAAGCCATATCTACGTATGCATAAATACAGAAGTGGCTGTAACAGACTATTACACTTTCTTTACTGAATTTCAATGCTACTGTCAATTCTACCTGTGAGAAATAAAACTGAATTTAATCCCCATCTTCAAACTTCAGTATGCAGTGAAAGCTGATAGAAGAATACATTTGCAACCTACCCTGATTTTTCACCTCGGCGAATTCTTTATTGTATTCCTCTAGAGTTTCCCTAAGTTTCTGGTTCTCTGTTTCAATATCGTGCATACGTTGAACCTTCAGCTGAAGCTGCTGTCCTAAATCCAAGGCTGGAACTGGATCTGGGAAAGAAACAGTAAAATAAAAGGTAAGACAACAGGAACACTTCTGTGACCCAAGCAGCGCAGAGCACAGGTGTCCTTTCTTCTCTATTAATATCCATTTCAAGTGCCATAAGGCCCTGCTTTTAGTCCTGCATGTTCCTCATCTCACGTCCTGCAAACTTCAACAAATACGAGGTAGTTCACTGTATCTGTTACCCTTTAAATATGGAGACAGGCTGAGAGAGCTGGGCTTGTTCTCAGCCTGGAGAAGAGAAGCCACCAGAGAGACCTTAGTGCAGCTCCCAGTGCCGAGCAGGGGACCTACAAGAAACTTGGAGAGGGGCTTTTGACAAGGGCACATGGGGACAGGACAAGGGGAATGGCTGTAAACAGAGAAGGAAGATTTAGGTTAGATCTAAGGCAGAAGCTCTTCCCTGGGAGGGTGCTGAGGCGCTGGCACAGGGTGCCCAGAGAAGCTGTGGCTGCCCCATCCCTGGCAGTGTTCAAGGCCAGGTTGGACACAGGGGCTTGGAGCAACCTGCTCTAGTGGAAGGTGTCCCTGCCCGTGGCAGGGGGTTGGAATTGGAGGAGCTTTAAGGTCCTTTCCAACCCGAACCAGTCTGGGATTCTGTGCAATTGGGGCATAGTAACTTCATCCCAGCCTCAATCCACAGAGCAGTGTCCCTGGGTGCAGACAGTCATTATACATAATATTAAGAGTGTGAAGCTTAAAACTTTGGTTTGCAAAGGAAGAATTTTTGGGTAGGAAGCAAACTGCACAGCTCACATCCCTCACATCCCTCTGCTTCTGCGGGAGGGGGCTTCTGAAGCGGATTGTGCCCTCCTGCACAGCTGAGCTCAGAAAGGTTGTTTGATCATGGAGATCTGAGCTGTGCTTTTTCTAACTGATAGATCAATAATAATCAGAAATATTGGGTGGATGCAATCAGTTACATGAACCTCAGGGTGTGTGACTCCTGTTCCCTTGTTTTCTTATAACTACTGATTGAGTAGACTTTAGAAATAATTCTGAATGTCCTATCAGTATTTATTCTCTGATGTTCATCCCCTTTGGCTAAAGAGAGTCCTGAGCACACACCTCATGTGTGATTTACTCTGGGACTTCTTCCCAGCAGGAACAGGAAAACGCTGGAGTCCAATGGACTTATAAAAGATTATTGACTATATTTCTGTTACGGGCGCCAGCATCTCTTGTGAAATGGCTGCAGAGATTTAGTCTCCTGTTGAGGAATGCTAAACACCAAACTCAGTGGATCAACAACAGTATATATTAGGGAGTTCACTTAATTTTCAACCACCACAGTCATTAATTTTTCAGACCACCCTCAGTCTCTGGAAACACATAATAAGTCTATTGTACCTCTGTTAACACATTAAGCATGAGCCTGTGTGTTTTTTCAATATGCCAGCGTTGTTTCATAGTTTATAGAAGAATAGTACTGGGTTATGTTGAGCTCAGAGACATTATAAGTAGCAGCCTGCTGCATTTTGTTACTTTGGTTCTTCAACAGCTTATGGCATTACCCTGTTCATAATACAAAATCTAGGTTGCTTGTCATCTGTTCTCTGCACATACATAGTTTATGACTACATAGCTTTTTCATTTATGCTTTTTAGGCCAAATACTTTTCGTTATTATTATCTGTATTAAAATATTTATAATAAATCAAACTTAAAATGTTATTATGGCAGAGACAGGGGGTACAGGTAAGGAATTAAATATAAAGTTTAAGTCACAGCAGTAGCACAAGTTAAAGGCCCTGCAATATTTATGTGTAGTCCAATTACGGTACAAGCTGTCACAACATCACCCTCTCCCACGGAGGTCTCCCGGCCTTTATAGGGAATGACCGTTCTGTCACACTTGTGCAGCTCAGCATTTCTCCCAAAGAGCTAGCCCAGGACCTTCAGCTGCTGAGCATAAAGAAAGGCTGGATTGTCTCAATCTATCTGTGTCTTGAATTGCTACAGGAACCACAAAACGTATCGGGCAGGGATCCGAAGCCTCAGCCATGGTACTTCTATAAAACAGTGTTACAACACCGCAATGAAAGAAACTGAACTTCACAAAATTGGGGATGCACTTTTCCCCCATTCGTTTTAACATGCCCATTGTGAAAAGCCAGGACACCCACAAGAGGCATTTTGCTCCAAATACACAAGGCTTTTTATATTTAAATCAGTAAAGAATTAAAAGACAAAAATAACATGGGCATTATAAAGTGAATAATGACTAAACCTTTAGTCAAATTTGCAATCCCTGAGAAGCTTTATGTACAAAATGAAAATGCTTGCAGTCTCATAATTATTCATCAGGATATGTATATTTAATTTAGCTCTATTAAAGGTTAATGTTCAAGCAGCAAAACAGTGGCAGAACAAACAAAACGTAAGAACAGTCTCTGTGCATTAAGCTTCAAACTTTACTAGAGCCTATTTGAAGGACTAATGGCCCACAGCCACTAAATACTGCTTAAGGACATGTAAAAAAACCCCATGGCTGAAGCACCTCTTAGCCTTAATTTTTATAGACTGCATTAAAGAAAACTAATCACTGCATGACAATGAAATGACCACGACGTTCTGGGCAGAGACAAATAGTTCCATTTCTCATGGCAAGCCCCAACATGATCTTTAATCTCAAACCCCCTAAACCCCCATGATTTCTGAAGTATTTATAAACACTGTTTAATCTGAAATAAGTATAAGCCTTACAGTCAGAATGACTTTTTTCTTACCTGAGTGGAGTGGATTTAAAAATAAATAGAACTACCCTCCTTTCCCCAACATACACATGCATGAAAAAACATCCCTTTTTATATTAACCAGACTTCCAAAGTATGTTTCATGTCATTTAGCAGGAGGTCACTGAATTTTTAAACAAGCAATGGACCAAAACTTTCGATTCATTACACAAACAACAGGAATACATGTTTAAAAAATGGGGGGGGTGGGCGGAAATCAAGTGGCACAAGCTTATGGAAAGAGGCAAAGATGGAAATGCTCTTTCTGGAGTCCGTAAAAGAGAAAAATCATCTCACTTAGCACTTAAGTGTGGAAAACTCACTGCAAATTATTCTCTTCGTTTGAATCTTTAGGATGAAGAAGTTCAGAGTCCCTGCTAGGCACAGGATAGGCAAAAGAATCTGATCATCCAGAACTTTCAAAAGTGTTTTGCAATATCATTACTGCCCAAGAGTAAATCAAAGCATCAATTTTTGTACTAAATTGGGTATGTTTTTTTTCCTATTGCTTTCTATTCTGTTCTACTTTCCTAATGCACTTGTTGCATCCCACACCCACAAAGAAGCCCTTCCCATGCTGTGTTTATATGCAGCCCAGCACATCTGGATTTGCCCCCTGATCAGGCATCCTCCATGCTACCACAGGAGAAACTGAAGCTGCTGCATTTTCAAACTAGTATCTGCAAAGCCTGTTCCTGCCTTTACTTTCCAAGGAGTTGCCTTTTGGTGCTGTTGCTTGAGCAGCTCCCTGAGCACATCCCGGTGCTCACTGCTGTGACACCCCACACTGGTGCCCTTGTAGATGAGCTCCCATCCTCACAAAAGGAGGTGGATGGACGTGTCTCGGTGAACACAGACACGAGAAAAATAATGCTATAAACGTAATTTTTATAGCAGTTAATACTTCACATCAAGCGAGCTGATGCAATGCAGCCGCAGAAACACCTCTCAGACTGTTCCCACACCACACACATGCCCTGATGATAAATCTTTTTTGAGTAGCAGTGCAAGAGAACCTATTTTTTTCGCTGCTGCTTATGCATGTAAGATATGTATTTTAGGAACAATTTTAAAAGAAACACAAAGACTGATCTTGCCAAACCAGTGCATTACACAACTAGCTCACAGCAGCACCTCAGCACCCGCAACCCCACGCTGCTCCCCAAACCCAACCTCAACCCAGGAGGTCGAGCAGGTCTACCGGTGACCAGCTGGATGATCCAAAGGGAGTTTCGTTTAAGAAACCCCATTCCTCCCTCACTCCGCGAGCTGGAAAAAGACACAGATCTCAATAATTCAATCTAAGTGTTTACACAAAGAGCGCTGTAGGTACCGTTGCCCTCCCCTGTCATTAGGCAGCAATGAATGCCCCTCGGCTCCTGCCATGACATCACGCTCCTGCCTGCGTTACTTTGCGCCAGGGCACTCTAGGCTAATGTAATCATACGATTACATAATTAACCCAGCTGTCTCATTAAGAAAATCAACTGGAATTCAGGGCATAATTAGTCATACAGCAATTAGCATGCTGATGAGCAACTGATGAAAAGCTGTCTCGATATAGAGTATGCTGGGACCACCCT